GGGCTCAGCTCCATGAAGTTAGTTTAGTTAGTTATTCATGTAATGATTGTCCAATGACGGCCGAGCAGGGTCAGCAATATAGTGGTATTGATTTGTTTGCTATAGAATTAGAACTACCATGTATAACTCACAAGTGTGCATACAATAAAGACTGAATTCAAATGACTCAGAAGTACGGTGACTGCTCGCTTTTCTGACTTAAGCAAATTGTGATCATCTGTCTACAGGACGAAGCAAGTGGAGACTGGGACGCCAACTAATTCTCCACCGAACGTATCTTCAGCACCCCAGATGCCAGAGAGATCGGTGTCTCCAGACAGGGTGCCCAACATCAAGATCTTCTGTGAGAACTTTCAGGAACTCCTCAGTAAGATGGTTTGTCCCAGCTGTGAAGAGATACTGACGTCACCCGTCCAGATCTGCGTGTCCGGCCACTCTTACTGTGGCAAATGCCTGCCTCTGTTAACCCTATGCTTGATCTGCTTCAAACCTCTGACCAAAACACAAAACCGAAACGTGATGAAGATACTGAGTTTGGCGTCATTCAACTGCCCGTGGAATCTGATCGGCTGCGTGGCCATGATGCCCCTGTCCGCTATTACAGAGCATTACAAATACTGCCATTTCATGCTGCTTACATGCCCAGCTAGTCGTGAAAAGGACACGTACTGCGCATGGCAGGGCATCAAGATGAATCTGCCTTCACATATCAAGACTCACGAACACCAACAGCTTTCAGTAGCACAACCTTTCCTCGTTGATTCGTGCCGTGTGTGGCCAGAGAAGATACTGCGTCTGTTCCTGCTTTACGAGGATGAGATATTCACGTATTACAGACTTGTGTTCGAAGATACATGGTACAGCATGGTGCACCAAGTGGGGCTAACGCGTCGGAAGTTCGAGAGCGCCTTCAAATTGGACGGCGCCAACGGCAAGGATCGCATTCGCATGACAGTACCTGTACCCGTGAGAGACGATGAGTCTGCGTGTTCACTGTTTTCTGGCAAATGTTTCAGAATCCCAGGCAATATGATCCAACATTTTATTAAGCATCAATATATAAATCTGACGATTTTCCTTAATGACGTAACGAAATCTACAAACCCCTAGAATTTTAGTTATTTTAGTGAGAAACTGCATATTTTATCATTGACGTAGGAAGGTATGTAAATTGATATTTAATTGTGCTTGTAATATCTGGATTCTGTTCACCCTCCTAGTTCTTTATAGGACAGTACTTAGATAAAACAAAAATCATGATCTGGAATTTTAGACCTTCAATGTGGTGACCCTTAAGATTCAGGTCTGCCGTAGAATCTGGTATAATTTTACCTGGGATTCGGAGGAACCAGCTTCCTACGGCTTCTACCACATTACATGGCATGTCTTCCCAGACGACAATAATCTTCGAGCCTTAACGTTTTGCAAATTGATTCTATATTCTTCTTCGGGTGGGTGGGATTTGAATAATTTATTATTCCTACAGGACCCTAGGTAGAACTGCTTTCATACCCTGATTTCGGAAAACATTAGAATAGGACAATTACTGACCTTTTGGACGTTAATCATTATACTATTTTATTTAAAAATTAGG